ATGGTAGGGGATGTTTTGGAAGATGTTTAGTATTCCAAGAAAACTGTTTTAGAATTCATTCATCATACATAATTATAACATGGTTAGTCATGATATTTCTGATCCGTGGGGTAGTTACGAAGCCTGACTTTTATGTACATTCGATAGCATATGGTAGCAGAATCTTTGTTCCAGACATTGATTCCACCAAGGTTATTTGAGAGTAATACTATTTGTGTGTGTAAATCTTGAGATTAAATTCCAAAACTTGTTGTCAAAGAGTACAGACATCGCAAATGTTGAGGTTGTGTATCACGACCCCCCAACATAAAAATATCGAGCACTGCAAAAGGGATTGAGGGTACAAAAACCGGCAGAATAAATTTGTGCGGTTAGTGAAATGAAATGTGTCACAAAATTAATCGCAAAACGGGGGTCATCACCAAGCTTGATAATCATAAATTACCTGTGTTAAGTGGTTGCACAAAAACTATGCGCACGGGGGTGCGACCAAACCCTGCTGTGATCACTTGTTGTGACGAGTACTCCTTCTGTCAAAGAGGGACAATTTGTGAATACAGAGCTAAAACATTTTATTCCAAACCAGAAGAGGTTGAGACTACCCATAAAGGGGGTTGGGAATATACAATTTAGGGTACAAATGGGTGTATACTGGTACAGAAACACCAGTTTACGGACGACATTGTTTTCTAGGCTTATTACTATGGGTGCAATAATAATGATTCAAAATAATACTTGATGCCCATTATGATCAATACACTCATTTGTGTTTTAAGATGAATCCTGCCAAAAACTAGGTCTTTATCTGATATTTAGTTCCAGAGATAGACAATATTAGAAAGTAGGGTAATTTTGTAGTATTAGTAATATTAGTACTACTACTACTACTGTGTACAGGCATTTTTCAGGAAGAAAATGAAAAAAAAACAGAAGTTGCAATTTCTTCTGTTGAGAAGAAAAAAGTGAGCTCGGAAATCAGCTCGGAAAGCTCCGAAATACCAGTAGCAAATAATTCGATATAATACTTGTAGTTGCTTTTTGGTTCTACGTGGAACTAAGTGACAGCTTGAGGTGCAGGGTGTAATATCGCACTGTTCTTCACGTAGGCCTGTGTAGAAATATTCCAAGAAAAAGCTGTCATGCGATATTTCACACCACAACCTCGTAGCCAACTAAACAAATTTTTGTTTCGCATTCAGGACCACAGATTCTCCGAACTTGTTTAAGCTTCCCGCGAACTTGTTTAAGGTTTCCCGCGCGACCACTCGAAACTCTCTATATGATCTGTTTTTGGTAGATGATGACAAAAGTCAATCGGTCCCC